GACAGGGTGAAATGGTATCGGAGCCAACTATTGACACCCATAGACCCTATTATTGACAGGTGTCAACCCTATTATTCAGGTTTAATTGAAATTTAAACTTCGAATATAATTTATTATTTATTAGTAAACAACAATATTTTGCTCAGACAATTCTTTTTTTAGTATAAAATTACGCGAAACAACATGTAAACAAATCCGCTATGTATGTTAAAGAGGTTGAGTTTCTTAAAATTGTAGGCTGTCGCTAGTTAAACACATGTTAATTTTTATGTACCTACTATTGACACCCGCTATTTTTAAATCATAATTAAAATTTATCAGCTTAAAACAATAAATCTAAGATTGTTTAGAGTTTAAATAGCCTCAAATAATTTTGTATGATAGGCTTATATCAGAATTATATAGAAAAATTCGCTATTTAAAATACGCTCTCTCTTAGCGAAATTGTTAAGAAATTTTAAATAAACTAACCGTAGTGGTCTACTCGGAAAAATAAAATTTTTTTGCAGTTAATAATTAATACCCAGGCATAAAATTTGATTTTCTTCTTACTAAAAAATTGATAACAAGCGATGTTTATTGTGATTTAATATTAAAATTGATTAAATAATCAATAAAATAAAACAACATGTCAATAATAGGGGCTTTTACCTTAAAAAAATTTTCACGTGTAATTTTTATTAATTTTCACACGTGGAATTTTTGAATTAAATTTATTTTTTTTAATAATTTAATTGACATAAAATTCTGAGAAAATTTTTAATGTCTGTCAACTTCAGTGTCATTCTTAAATTTAATTATTATAATTTTATTAAATTTAATTATTATTGATAAATTAATAATTATACTAATAATGAATTAATTAATAAAAATAAATTATATGAATATAAAAGAGTATAAAAATAATGGAATCTGGGTGGCCACCGTAAATATAATATATTTTTTTCTGGTCCAGCAAATTATGCTAATACGTGGAATTACCAAGTGTATAATTGATATTTATAACCACGGGCCCAGTCAACGCCGTTGGGTGAATCGAATCAGGTCTATTACGTCCTCTGTCCTTCTGTTCCAATTCGCTGGTATGCTTCTACATCTATCAGACACTCCAGACTCCACACTATCCCATATTCCGTAGAGCCCATAATCCATAATGTGGGTACACCATCAGCAATTTAATTATTTATACGTGCCCGGTTATTTTCGGGAGCTCCCGAACTGCCAATTTTGTAAAAACAGCCGCTACCGTGTCTAAATTGTAAGCATACTTCGTACTTGAAAAATTTTTTTTTAATTACTAGAATTCAGGACTAATTTTAGTCATATAAATTCATATTTATGTTGCTAAAAAATTTACTGCAATTGAAAATAATTGTCTGTTAATTTAAAAAAAAAAATTCATACGTACACTGATAAAAAGATTCAGTACGGTGTAATAAACTAATTTAGTAACAAAATTTTTAGTCATTTATTTGGGCGAAAAAATTGTTATTTTGTAACTAAAAACAATTTATTATGAAAGTAAAGAAACATTTCTATTTGGAGCATTGAAAACTAAAATGAAATAAATTTTGGTTTTTTTGGTATAAATTGGTAAATCACCTTAATAACAGTCCCCTGGGCTGTCCCATTCCCAAAATTAAAACTTTAACATTAAATTTTAAGTTATTTGTCCATAATATATAATTTGGTCCATAATGTTTATAAACTTAATTAGTTAACTAACAATCTTCTTCAATAAAAAGTACCGAAAATTAATTTGTTTGATTAAATTCATTAAACCAAAGTTTGTCCCAGGCATTTTAAGAACAGTCCCCTGCCAGAAGTTCAAAGCCAAAAAAAAAATCCAGCGTGTTATTTTACCTTTTGTAAGGTTTATAAGGACCTAACTAGCCTTGAGTTAATAACCATAGGGCTGTTAGCGCTTTATCGGGATTTTATTTAGTGTCAAAGCACCGTTTGTGCTGGAAATATGTGTCTGGGCCTCTTCAAAACGTCAGTCCCCTGGCAACTATTTTTATTTATAATTTATTTATAAAATTCCAGCCATAAGTCTTAATATTATTCTAATTAAATCTGTTTATTTATTATGATTAAGATAGTTTTGTAGCCCTTGTTAATTTTTAACTTCCCGCTAAGAAAATTGAAAATTTTCAAAAATCGGGAAGTTATTGGTTTTACCCCGTTTTTCGAAAATCGAGTTTTCATCAGATCTCGACGTTTTGAGGTCCTAGGAAGCTTCCCTGACTATTCCCGCGAGGGTGTCACTATGTCTGTATGTATGTGTGTGTGTGTGTGTGTAAGTATGTAAACCTCTTATAACTTTTGAACGGTTAAACCGATTTCATCGCGGTTGGTGCCATTTGAAAGGGCTTCACTAAACTTAGATTTCCTGAAAATTTGAATCGATTCGGACCGATAGATTTTGAGAAATTTAGAGAAATCTCCAAAAAAATAGGAAAAAATTTTTTTTTCAGAAGTGGTTTTTTTGGAATAACTTTTAAACGGCTCTACCGATCGATTTCAAAAACCAATCAGCTCTCAACCTTAAAAAACCACGTCGATTGCCGCCAATCCGATCAAAATTCGTTCAAGAGATATCGTGAACGAAAAAAAACCGAAAAAAGTTTTTTTTTTGGAATTACTCCGAAATTTCTAGTTTAACCAATTGAAACTTAAGAATTCTTTATGAGGCTTAAAAAACTGCGTAGAATGCCGCCAACCGCGTGAAAATCCGTTCATTCATTCAAAAGTTATTGCGATTTGAAAATAAAAAAAATAGTGTTTTACCAAACTTCTATAGAACTTTTGTGCTCGAAGAGCTCAAAAGCATACAAAAGCTATTTTTTTGAGCTCGGAGAGCTCAAAATAATACACAAATTGTATTTATGAGCTCGAAGAGCTCTAAAACGTCATAAGTGCAATTTCAAGCGTATTCCTAATTTTTTTTTTAATAAAATCAAAAATAATTTGGTCGGACGATTTTGTACAGATTTAAGACGTCCTTACAGAGAATCACCCAAATACACTTGCCACAAAACTTTACTTATTCTCTTAAAATTTTTTTTTTCTCCAAAATTTCTTAAATATAGACATTCTAATAATTTGTACTCCTTAAAAGTCTAACCAAAAATATCAACCCGTAAAATATATATTATTTCACGGCATCAATACAATTTTACCCAAAAACAAATTTTTCAAGAAACAAAGTATGATTAAATACAAAAGACCCTTTGTATTGAAAAAGAGATGACGTGAAAGTGTAACAAGTTTGTCATCTTTTGATTTATTCTACCCCAAAATAATTCAAAAGACGGACCTTGCAATAACTGGAGCACTCCAGGAAATCTCCTACTATTTATGCAACACTACGTAATTCGGGTTGAAAAATATGACAGCGATTTGTCCTCTTTTAAGTCTTTTGTTACTTTATCGTCAAATCTAGTCACCTGCGCTCCAGTTTAAGTCACTCTCTTTGTCGTTTTTGGACAAAGGGTCAATGTCTACCTGCTTCTCTCAGAAACTCGTTCGAAAATTCAGACACAAATTCTCAAATTTTGACGAAGAAAAATTTGTCAAATTTTTCCTTTAATAAATTAATTTAAAAGAAACTTTCTCTTCTTGCGGCAATTTGGGCGCGTGGCACAAAAACCAGAGCACGTGTCTCACCATTAGCACCCGTAAAAAATAAAAAACGTTCTAATAATAGTAAAAACTAGAGTAGCCAGACTATTAAGTGTACAAGTGGGTAAAAAACCTCGGGATAAAAAACTTAAAAGATGTTTTCGTAAGACAATTAGCGTACACTGGGCGAAAAAACCAAAAAACCTTGGAGCAAATTTCTCCTCAAGCTTGAGGTTCAATATATCTAAATGTTTTGAGCGTAAAAAAATCCAAACATTTTTATTTGGGGTATTTGGGTGACCGTAATAACACAAAAAGTGTACCGTCAAAAAATTCTTATTTTTATGGTCTAAAAAATATTTCTAAAACGCTTTGCCTAAAATTTAGACCAGACCATTTACCACAATAGCTTTATGGTCCCCTAAAAATGTACCGAGAGCAATTTTTTACGACGTAGAAAAATTTGGTTTATAATTCCGTTGCTAGCCGGGATTATTTTTACCGTTGTGAATAATATTATTTCCGACCTGTTTTTTTCTCATTATTACTATGGTTTATTGTCGTTACTATTGTGTAAAATGCTCGCTACAGTTCAGGTCACTTGGAATTATTTTTCAAGGTCACGCTTTTCCAGAGTTCGATTTTTAAATTATTTATAATGTAACGAAAAAATGAAATATAATTTTTTTTGTTAAAAAAATTTGAAAATTTTTTAAATAAAATTCTCAAATTTTTAAAATAAAAAATTTTGAAATTTTTTAATTGTTAATACAATTTGTTTTTTACAAAAATAATGTACATTATTGAAATTTAAGCGATAAATATTAAATCAACATAAATTTTCACTAAAATCAAGCAAATATAAGTCCTTTCACTTTTAAGCACGCGATTTAATATGTTATACAATTGATCTTTACAAAAATATATAAAGCATTAATCCCAATAAGCGTACTTTACTTTAATGATATAAATTATCTTCATTATGATTTTTTTCTTCACTCGTCGATCAATTAAAAAAATAAATATCAGTGTAGCAGCTTATCTAGAATGATAACAAATCATTAGTTCAAGTAATTAAAAAAAAAACAATTAGTTTATTATTGTGCTTACTACGGCTGCATCTTTTGATCCTGAAAAAATCGCAATCTAAACAAATAAAGAAAGAAAAAAATAAATTTTTTTAATAAATTTCAAGCTTAGAAATGATTCAAATTTTCTGAGAATCGTGTTTAGCTTTTTATTTTACCTGTATCTTCGTGATACGGTGATATGATGGAAGATATATAAACATTCTGTGCAATCAAAGGGGTTTAGTTACTAACCAATAGTGGCACTAGAAATATCGACATCTTAGTATTGAGAAAAAATACAATACAATGGCTCCTAGCGATTATGATATCGCAGTGACAAAAGATTTCATTAGACATGTGCGAAAGCACGAGTGTTTATATAATATTAACATTCAAAACAATTTAACTCTCGGACAATTAGACAATATTTGGCGGGTAGTTATTCGGAATCGTCGTCTCAAAAATAGTAATTTGTTTACGCTTCGTACACTGAAAAAAAAGTTTTTTTCCACCTAGAAAATTTTTCCCTCCTGTAAAGAAACTGGTGGAGAATACCAAAGATTTTTTCTACACTAATAAGTATAGTGATTTTTAAAAACTCGGTTTCCTCCTCAGCAAAATACCAAAATAAATATATCCCCGACTTATAACCT